TCTCTCGGATTACGCAATGACGTTACATTAATTCCAAATAAATTTGTTAATTAATAAAAGATAAAACGCATATTTCAATCTTCCGCGCTCGTTTTACGTAAAAAGTAAATATTTGAGTCAGAATGGCCATCGTGACAGAGTTATAATCGCGCGATCGAATTATTTTTAACCTGCATTATTTTCAATTCGTCGACGACACTGGCAAGTAAAACTTACAATACAGTAGAATAGCCAAATAGAGATTATAGAAAGATGAAGAGAAAATATACGAGTAAAATGATCACTCGCGTGGAGAGAAGCGCAAGAGACTCTGATATTATACATTTACAGCATCGTAAAAATGGAAAAAGCCGAACGATACGAAAGAGAATGGGTGATGAGGAGCGAGACTGAGGACGACATTGGCTGGTAAGATTTCAGCAATTTTAGCTTCCCCGCCCTTCAACGCCCCTCGCCAATTTCCGTGCACGACATTCAAATTTCGCTCCGCCTGGTCGGTTCGCGTCCATACTATTTTCGAATCCCAATGTATTGGAATTCACTTTAAAAGGGTGCAGCCGAGACGAAGGCCAGAGATCGGTCCAGCGGAGGGCGCGAGATCATCATCAGCGGCGGGAAGCGGAGAAACTTGGTGGAATGGAGAAAGAGAATTCAGGGATGAAATGACGGGAGTAGGAAGGAAAGGACGCGGGAATAGTCGAGCGGCGGCGCTTTACGATGATGGTAAGCTTCACCCGTAAAAGCCAATGTAGCGCTACCGTGTCCTGGTCGTCCACCGCAACGTGCATCCCCTGACCTTTCCCAAAACCCAAGTGGGACGCTTATCCCTTCGGCAGTATGAAGCAGTTCGACGTGCAAAGATCTCAAAGAACAGCTTCATTATCCGCCGCGAGCTTCTCGTGCCTTCGTGCCGGAAATGCGACACCTATTGTCGATAGTCCGCAGAAAGTTTTCGAAAACCATGCAATAACCTCGCAACAGTGTTTTGCGCCGATCACGTTCTGATATTATGTAGAGGTAACCTAACCTCGTACATAGCGCGACATCCTCGAGCGTCTTATTGGCAACATTGGTGAGACGTTGAATTCTTCAAAGTGTTTGAGAAGTATGCTTCAACTTTCGCGACGTATTTATCGGTTAACGGAGCGATTTAGTAAGCACCGCAATTACGGCAACCACAATTACTCAAAAACTTGCTCGATACTTTTTCTTTTCACTTTCGCCGAGTGTACAATTAACAGAATTTCTTGGATATAAAAGATATTAACCAGAGAGAGTGTTGCGTAATCTCGAATATTTCTTTCAAATGAAAGAAAATTAATTGTAATTGATTAAAAAGTGTTATTCCGCAAGAGCAGTGTGTAATGTAAAATATTGAAGTAAGCCGGCAAAGTATATTGCAATATTATCAAATAAAAAGAAAGTTTTCGAAAAAATAATTTTAACTGCTGACAAATGTTGCAACGACAAAGACTAATAAAGTTGCGGAGGCAACTGGGATTACTTCTTCCCCGTAACAGGCAACGTAACCAATTAGTCGGTTCAAGCATTTAAAATCTAATTAGTCGAAACTCGGGCAACTGTACAAAACATAAACTCCGCTAGGATAGTGCTTAGAGACCGCAAATCTCCTATTAATTATGGCTGTGCATGTTGGCTGTAAAAAATTGCGACCACGATTTACAACGCGGCATTTAATCATTTCTCGAGGACACTTAGAACGCCGCATAGTACTTGCCACCGGAAATATCTCGAGATGCGTTTAGAGTGAAAGCTTATTTATCATCTACGTAAAAAATGGTGCGCGTAATAATTCTCTGTGATTTCACACGCAGTGAACAATGCGCTGTTGACTGAAAAAAAACTTGCAAGTATTTGACGTTTATTTCAGAGCGATTTTCATTCGGCAATTTTTCGAAATTGCTTTAGTTTGATAAAGAAAGTTTAGAAAATATTCCGCAAACTCTGCTATTCATCACGCGGACACGAACGATTAAATGTGGTAGCAGGTGAAAAAACGTTGTAAATCCTACGGAAGCCTAGATTACAGTTTCCACGTTTCGACGTGATGCGTCGACTGATAGCGGAGTCTGTGACACGTTTCATAAGCCTGCTTTGTCAGATAAAGCTGCTTTCCTGACAAAAAGTCGTTTACGTGGAAGTGAGTTGCAGCAATCGTTCGCGAGTATTTCCCCGCTTCTGACGTCATAAGTCAAGCTGAGTGATGTAGGCAATATCGTCGGCATGTAATATCTCTGTGATATTCCAACGCCAAGAAGCTAATACGCGTTGGGTGCGCGCTTGGATACGCTCGGTCTCGGGTCGGGGATGAGGGTGTGTTACGACGCGCGTAAAGGTGTTAAGACGCCACGTAAAACAGCAACCTGCTGTGTATTTCAGGGTCGGCGCACTGTTCATTACACGGGCTGCACGGCTCTGGCGGTGCAGGGCGAGGGTTTCCAAAGTGCTCAAACAACAATCAAGCCGCGAGGGCGCGGGGCTCAGTACATATTGTGCAACATCGCCACTCTGAATTGGGGACCGCTCCCGCCACCGCCGCCTTCCTGCTATCAATTTAACCCCTTTAACTCTCTGCGTGCCTGCCTATACGGACACTTGGACCGGTGGTCATCGCCGTTTCGCAGAACCCGCGGGTATATTGCTATTTGTACAGCGGCAACTATCAATTTGCTGGAATCCATTACGGTATTAGAGACGGACTCGACGATTTAGAGGCGCCAGTTTGCAGCATGCGCCGAAACACGCGCGACTTGCGCGATACATCCTTGCGCTTGCGGATGGCGAATCGCATTCTCGTGGCGCGCAGACGCCCCAATAAAGAGGGCAATTAACGAAATCCTCGTTAATTGCTTGCCGGCAGCCAGTAGATTCATTCGTTGCAACAGGCTGCGAAATCCCGGTCACCATTTTCAGGCTGAATTATTCTAGTCTTGTGAATCGCACGGTCAAAGGTACAATTATATCGCGATGAAATATTATTTCTGTACAAGTAATTTTTCAAGATCCGAGAGCTTCCTTGGAATAAATCTTAATTACACGAAAACGCTATCGTGATATTTCCAACAAACTTCTACACTTATGTGTGTGTTGCACTTTTTGGAAACTTTGCATAATAATTTTTATTTATCGATTTTTATTCTAAGATATTTAAATTTTGCAATTTTATGGATTCATAAGTCTGCGGAGAATGGAATAAATACCGCGGCTTTTATAACCCGCCTATAACATCGGACTTGAATATCGATCTGCCGCACAATAGACGTGCGATCAACATTTTCTGGAAAAAAGGAAACCGCATTTGGTATTCTATAAGGAATACTTGCTGCAGCTCGCCACATATACTCAGCACACCCCATATATATCCCGTGTATACGGCAAGGTGTCCTGTGGCTCCCGATGTATGCGCTATACGTATACATACATCTACATACATCGTCGTGTTACGACAATTAGGTAGCGGAATGCAGATTGCGGTCGGCTGCTACCCGTAGTTACCATACGAAGAGAACGTTCCAGGAGGGAGGAGGGTTAAAGGGGCCGATCGTGACGTCGAGCCGTTGCACCGCCGTGACCATCCCCGGAGATGCAGACCAATTGAAGCAGTCATTTTGCAAAAACCTCTAAACTACTAGTGTTTCCTAATACACAATTATGCGTTCTATTTCTGTCGCTCTATTGTTTGACTTTTCTAGCGGTTTCACTCTGTGTGCCTACTCTGTATATTCTACTCTGATTGATAATCTCGGATTTATGGATTGATGAGAGATGTTTTGAGGAGCAAATGTTTTTCACTATAAATTAACTCATGTATAATTACATGAATCAATATTTAAGATACATCAAGTTGTCCATTTTGCTGTGGACAGTCGTGCTTTTTACTAAATTCTCCCGTTTATTTAAATGTATAAATAGTTCATTTAAATGCATGTATGGATTTAATATTTTTTGCTATCAAATAAATATTTTTTCCATAACAATATTAATACATTATTGTATATCAAATTAAATTTAAAACAAAAAGTCCAATTCTTTTTATTAATGTAAAGAATATATTTACACAACTGTTATCTAAAAGCAAACGTATTCATAAATTTATCAGAAGCGGCCTCGAAAACTCTGATTCTATTTTTGGTTTGTTCCTACCAACAAATTTTCTAAGCAGTGCTTAAGTGATAAATAATTTGGGAGATGCCACATTTTAGTTTGAAGAATAAAATACATAATTTTAAAGAGAAATTACGTTTTCAAAGCCACAATCTAGTGAATGCATAGCGATTATGCACAATTTTGAAAGGGCAGCTAAATAGGTAACACCTCGTAATTACCAGCAATTACGTATTCTCTCTCGCTTAGGCGGTTTTAGAGAGCTGTGTGTGTGGTGGGGGGGAGGGGAGGAGGGGGGAAGGGGGGACGGTGGCGATTATACGCGCTGTGCAGCTCGTCAATTGTTTTGCGCAAGTAGGATCTTACTATTAATTGAGTTAATTGATCAGTTATAGTGTAATATTGAAGTT